GTGGGGGGCACCCACCTGCTCGTTGGCCCGGTGGTAGTAGCTGGCGTGGGCCCCCCCGTAGCCCACGTTGAGCGTCGTCACCCACTTAGGGGCTGCAACAGAGACAGACAGCACGTGTGTGGGGGGGGACAGGAGCGCTGGGGAGTCCCCAAATTTGTGGTGGGGGTGCCCCCTTACCCGTGTATTTGCCTGCCAGCGTGAGGATGGCCCCCTCCTCGCCGGGGCGCCGGTGGTACACGAGCTCCCCCCCCAGCACCAGGCGGGCGGTGACGCTCTGCAGGAAATGGGCCACCACGATCACTGCGGGGACAGCACGGGGGACAGCCCGGGCTCAGCGGGGCAGGGAGGGGGGGGTTATAGAGGGGGGGGTTATGGAGGAAGGAGGAGGAAGGGGGAAGCCCCCCCCCCCCCAGCTCACCGGAGCCGCCCAGCAGGTCGGGGTTGCCCAGCGTGAGCGTGGCCGTGCAGTCGTCGCCGCGGTACTCGCCGTCGAACTGCCACGTCACGAACTTGGCCTGGTGGCTCTGCGGGGGCACAGGGGACACCGAGGGGGAGGGGGGGTGGCTAGAGACCCCCCCAGCTCGGGTGTGACCCCCCCAACCCCGCCCAGGCTCACCTGGAACACGGCCTTGACCCGCAGCCGCTCCCCAAGCAGGTGAAGGGCCTGAGCGTTGAGGCTCCCGGCGCTGTCCATGTCCCCAACCAGGGTGGGGAACACCTTGGGGACATCATGGGGGAAGAGTGGGGTCAAGGGGGATAAGGACACACCCTCCAGGCCTGGATGGGAGCGCTGAGCTGGGAGGGAATGTCCCCATCTGGGCTGGTGGCACCTCAGTGTCACCCAAACGCTCCCGTTGCGGGACGTTGTGGTCACTGTGAGGCCACCGATGACCCCAAGGCCACCGATGACCCCGAGGCCACCAACCACCCTGGGGTCACCTAGGACCACCTAGAACCCCAAGCCCACCAATGACCCCAAGGCCACCGACCACCCTGGGGTCACTCACCACTCTGAGGCCGCCAATGACCCCAAGGCCACTGGCCACCTTGGGGTCACTCACCAGCCTGAGACCACCCAGGGCCACCCTGAGACCACCCGCCACGCCAGGACCACCTGTCACCCAGGACTCCCAAGATACGGGATCACCAACCACCCCAGGGTCACCTGGGGCCACCCCAAGCCACCAAGGACCCCGGTGCCACCCCGGTGCCACCCGCGTTGTCACCTCGGTGGGGCTGAGCTGCCGGTCCCCCACGAAGGTGGCATTGAAGCGGTACCCAGAAGGGCCCAGGGTGCTCATGTGCACTGTGTGTGTCACCTGTGGGGACAAGGGGGGTCAGGGGACAACCCGGGGGGGGGTCACAGCCCCCCTTCCACAGTCCCTGTGTCCCCCACCCTGACCTGGAAGTGGCTGCTCAGGGTCTTGGTGACGATCAGCTTCACCCCCTCCATCTGCGGCGGGAACACCTCTGGGGGGACAGGGCTGTCACCTCCCTGGGGACAGGGCTGTCACCCCCCCAGGGCACCGCTGCCACCCCCCCAGGGCACCTACAGCCCCCCCGACAGGGCTGTCACCTCCCTGGGGACACCCAGAGCCCCCCTTGGGGACACCGCAGCCCCCCTTGGGACACAGCTGCCACCCCTCCCAGCGTCCCCCCCACCCTGGTGTCCCCCAGTACCCCCCCGTGTCCCCCAATGTCCCCTCAGTCCCAGTGTCACCCCCTTCCCTGGTGTCCCCATAGTTCTGGTGCCCCCCAATGTCCCCTCCCTCAATGCCCCCCACCCACGGTGCCCCCCCGGGTGTCCCCTCAACCCCGGTATCCCGCCCAACCCCGGTGCCCTCTCAAACCCAGTGTGTCCCCCCCAGTGCTCCCCAGTGTCCCCCCCCTCAATGCCCCCCAGTGTCCCCCACCCCCGGTGCCCCCCTCACCCCCGCCGTGCGCCCCCTCCCCGGTGGCCGCGGTGCCCCGGGCGCACCTTTGCAGAGGCGGTGGAGCTCGTCGAAGCTGCCGGGGTTCCCGCGGGGCTCCCCCCGCCGCGGGGCCCGACCCGCCGCGTTCCCCATGGCCCCTACGGGCCCCCCCCGCCCGCCGCCATCGCGGCCGCGGGCGGAGCCGCCCGGAGCGGCTTCACGGGGGGCACCGCCGCCATCTTGGCTGAGGGCAGAGCGCGCCGCCCCATTGGTCGAGCGCGGGGGG